CAGGTCTCAGCGGGTGCCGGCTGTGGGAGGGGACCCCGGGACGAGTGACCCCTGTGTGCCCAGCAGCTCCATTTGCAGGGCAGGGTGAGGCAGGGATGGAGGACAGAGGCTTCAGTGCACCATGAGGACCTCACAGCCCTTTTCTCCCCCCTCTGCCCCAGTTCGAGGAAGACATCTTGACCATCTGCCTCAACCTGCTGGACACCAACCCCAAATTCCTTAGGGACCAGAACAAGGACTGCTCCCGCCGCAATGACCCCGTGTACATCGGCAGGGTGGTGAGCGCCATGGTGAGTCCCCAGGGCTCCGGCCACCGGCTGTCCCCAGGGTCCCCAGCACCCCACATCCCCTGGGGAGGAACACCCCCATGCTGTCCCCCAGCTACAGCTGTGACAGAGGTGACATTTGCCATCCCCTCTCATTTGCCCCAGTTTCCTTCCCCGGGGTGCTTCACATCCCACTTACAACCTTTCCCACTGTTGTTCTTAAATCACCCAAACTCCCAGGCAGGAGGATGTGTTTCCAAAATCCATCCCCAATTAGTGCATCCTAATTATGCCCTCTCCATCCACCCACTCTCCCACCTGTGCTGCTGGGTCGCAGGTGGATGCTGTGCAAGAGCATTCTGGGATGCACACATGCACCTGCATCCCAGCAAGCTCCTGGATGGCTCATGGAGGTGATGGCACATCTGAGCTGGGGGAAGAGTCTTTCCCTCCCTCACCAGCCCCTCCGTGCTCAGCCATCATCCATCACGACCCCTCTTGTCCTGCCATAGGTCAATTGTAACGATGAGGACCGGGGGGTGCTGGCAGGAAGGTGGGACAACTGTTATGAAGATGGGATGAGCCCGATGTCCTGGATTGGGAGTGTGGATATTCTCAGGAGGTGGAAGAAGTTTGGGTGTCAGCCAGTCAAGTATGGCCAGTGCTGGGTCTTTGCTGCTGTGGCGTGTACTGGTGAGAGCAGACATCCCCTGTGTCTCCATCCCCAGAGGACAGGGTCACCCGTGTGTCCCCCCCCCATCTCCCATCCCAGCCCCCTGCCCTTCACCACCTCCCTGGGCTGCAGCAGGAGGGAACACCAGGGCTGGTTCCAATCAGCCCACAATGACTGCATAGCAATCAAGCTCTCTGTTATTCTAATTTGTCAGGAAACAGAGGGGGAAAATGATAAAAAAGGGCTCTGGCTTTTCATTTTATGCTGAGGCCAAGGGAGAGGCTGAGCACATGGCACAGGGGAAGGAAAGTGGCTTTAAGGTCAAGTTTGCAATAAAGTCACCAATCCACGGAGATCAAAATAATTTCCGTGCCAGTGGGGCCGTTGGACTGGGTGTAGGAGAAGAAAAAACTCCCCAGCTCAGCCCTGTGGGGAAGCACACGTGCACCTGTGCACTCTCGCCCAGTTTCACCCCGAGACAAACGCTGCGTGTGAGGAGTTGCACGAGGGCACGTGTGCATTTATGTATCACAGACAGACAAGATCATTTTTAGAGGGAACAGCAGAAAGCTAAAGTGAATTTTCCATGACTCTCCAAAGTTCATAGCCTTCCTTTGAAGTGTTGTAACGACTTCCCTGTTCCCCAGGGAGCTGCGCTGGCAGTAAAAGGCAGCTGTGAGGTTGAATCGCAGGCTGCTGCCCCTGCGCTCCCTCAAAAGCTCTTGCAGCAGCTTTTGTGCTTTTTTTCTCCTGCCCTATCAGACCCCAGCAGGCTGAGGGAGCCATGCCCCACCCGCACTATGAGTCCCACCCCAGGAACAGCTCATCCTGGGGACCAGTCCCTGGGCACCCATTTGGGCAGGAGCTGTGTGAACCCAGGGCTCTGTGGGACAGGGCTGTGCCAGCCTGGAGCTGTGCACCCTGGGGGCTCCCCAGGGACAGAGCTGAATGAGCCCAAGACCCCCAGGCCCCCACCTCCCCCTGCCCTGCCTCCCTGCAGTCATGCGGTGCCTGGGCATCCCCAGCCGGGTGGTGACCAACTACTACTCAGCCCACGACACCAACGGCAACCTGGTCATCGACCGCTACCTCAGCGAGACAGGGGAGGAGGCCCAGCGCTCCAAGGACATGATCTGGTGAGGGGACACCAGCCTCCCTACCCCCAGGGCCGTGTTTGCCCCTTCCTCAACCCTTCTCAGCACCTGGTGGGTGTTGGGGCCAAGGCTCCTACATCCTGGCTTCCCCGGTAGGAACTATCACTGCTGGGTGGAGTCCTGGATGGCCCGTCCAGACCTGGCAGCAGGCTATGATGGGTGGCAGGCACTGGACCCCACGCCCCAGGAGAAGAGTGAAGGTACATTGTGCACCACGTGGGCACCCGTCCCACCCAGCACCACAGGGTACCCCCTGCCACAACTACATCTTGCCCCTGCAGTCTCTGAACCCCAGGTGACCAAACCAGCCCTGGGTGGTGACGGTGGCTCTGGTCCCTGCAGGGGTTTTCTGCTGCGGGCCAGCCCCTGTCAAGGCCATCAAGGAGGGAGACCTGCAGATGAAGTACGACATCCCCTTCGTCTTCGCGGAGGTGAACGCTGACGTGGTGTACTGGGTGGTGGGGCCTGACGGGACACGGAAGAAGAGCACCCACTCCTCAGTGGTGGGGAAGAACATCAGCACCAAGAGCGTGGGCAGGGACGGCAGGGAGGACATCACCCACAACTACAAGTACCCAGAGGGTATGGAGCAGCAGTGGGAAACAGAATGGGAATTATTAATTAATGCAGCAACTGCCCAGGAGGGCTGCAGAGCAGCCTGAACCACGCCCTCCTGGTACCTCCCTGGGAACCACCTTTTTTTCACGCACCCCAGGGTCTGAAAAGGAGAGACAAGTGTTTGCAAAGGCAGAGCGCGAGACAAGGTCTCTGAGGGAGGAGGACGAGGGGCTGCACCTCAAGATCAAGCTGTCGGAGGGTGCGAACAACGGCAGCGACTTCACGGTCTTCGCTGTCATCAACAACAACACGGACACGGAGCGGGTCTGCAGGCTGATGCTCTGCGCCCGCACCGCCAGCTACAACGGCACCGTGGGGCCCCAGTGCGGCTTG